TAGGTATATATGTATAATATATTATATAGCACGTAAATTTTATCTTGGGGAAAACTAGGTAAATTTCAACATTATATTTTGGACCTATTAGGGATATTTGAAGCTAGATTATTCCATCTAGATCCCATAGTTTCACACCTATTTTGGGAAAAATCTGTCAGTGGCAATCTAGGACCCATGTAGATTTTCCGACTATTTTTTGCCTCGGTAAAATCAAGGTAAATTTCTCGGGTGTATTCTGGCCCTAAACGGATATTTTGAACTGAATTTTTCTATCCAGACCCTGTACTTAATCTCGGCAAACTGAGGCAGATTTCTACCTGGGAATTTAAAACTACATAAATAAATATTTCCTACGTAGATTTTGGAAAGAATTCAGATTTTGCGAGAACTGTATTTCCACTAACTTCATAATATGTTACTGTATTTAATACAGAAAAATAATTTATTTCTTTTATATACTTTACTATTTAATTTGTGATATTTAAATATTTTCTAAATAAAACAGAATTTAGATTTTTAAGGCTGTGTACATACATGAGGATAGATATAACAGACAAATAGATGATGTATATTCGCGCGCACAGTGTCCTCGCGGAACACTAGATTATTTATGCACTGACATACGTAATCCATATTACCGTAATTCACTTACAGCATTTACTTACAGCTTTGCTACATATATCAATGAAACGACGTCCATCCTGGCGAAGGAAGATAGTATGCCAGTGCACATTCTAACATTCTTATCAACGATCAGAACGCTATTACGTCATGCTCCACTTTTAGCACTAAACCGTTCGATTTTGTTAGTGTAATGGAAAACTAATGTTTACTGGAAATATCGTTCAATATGCATTTTACACTGAGCTCGCATAGTCATTATTACCTTTTACTAATTTTGTACAGCTACTATTTTTATTTCTCTTATATTAATTTCGGTTATATTAAATGTAATGTTTTTCTTTTTAATTACATTTTTATATTAAGTTTATTAATTATTAATTAATTAATTATACTACTATTATTATAGTTTTTTGTATAAAATAGTATATAAACCATGGTTTACAATTACATATATGCATATAAAGTTTTGATTCAGAAAGAAACTAAACATAAAACAACAAGAAATCTATCATTTTCTTTATTCACACCAAAGTTTTTCGAGATTTTAGAGCTTTTAACGTAACTATATAAATAATATAACAATATTAAGTATTATTAACATTTACTTATATGCGTTGCCTTAACTTGCAGCATTTTCTCTTTCAAAATTTACGTACAATGTTACACATAATATGAGTATAGTCGTTTAACAAATCGTTTACCACAACTTTGTAGCCACATAATTTATTATAGGTCGACATATAGTTCCGTCCAAGAGTGTCGCAGCCGATAATATTCCGCATTCTCGTACGTTGGAGTTTTATATTCGCGGAACTGTTTTTCTGCGAAACTTGCCGCATTTGTGAGTCATCGTGGTTTCGATTGACCGATTATTGAACATATTTTTCGCTGTTATGCGCAACAAGTTTTTTTTTCAATACATTGTAATACTACCTTATCTGGAATTATCTCATATTTTATTAAGTCCTTTTATACATGTCACTGTTAAGTCCATTATCTTTATTATGTCTCTAGGGTGACTTTAAAATCTGCTCTGGATTTTCAGAACGGTTGAAAATACTTAAAAATGTCGAAATACGTGTTTTTATTTTAAAAGGCTAAACGTTTCTCTCCGTCCTTGTACTTTCCTCTTCCCCAAAAGTAGATAAGAATAACTAAAAACTTTTAATGACTCTTACCAAAAATGTATTAAAAATTTTAGTTTTTAATTTGTTATACATACAAGTATATCCTAAACCAATGCCGTCCGCCACTTGATTTTTGCGGCGAATTACTCAGAAAACTCCCCCCTACAACATACCTAAGTGAAAATGAAATCGATGAGGTGTGACCTTTTCTGCATATTTACCAAAGTTTTAAACTTTGACACTAATAACTTTTTAACAAACAACGTCCGCAGGCTAAAACCTTTTGCAGGTCACTCAGGAGGGTGACCTCTTTAATATATGCCAAGCCCCTAATTTGTTAGAGGGGGGTATGCTAATCTAAATAATTACCAAATTTTTTAACAAGGTCGACATTATAATATTTAAAAAACATGGAAAGTTTTGATAATGCCATTTTACGTTAACTATATCATTTAAAATTCTATCATATTAAAAATTCTAATAAAATTTTACATTATGGAAAATTGTTTAAAAGAATTCTATATCTTTCTCTTACTCTGCAAAATAATCGATATTAGTGTGAAAAATAGAAAACATCGATTATATCATCCTTTGTCGATTCTTATCATATGTGCCTTTTTCACTGACATGTTTGTCATAGAACGTGGTGACGATCGATCCGCTGACAAAATTATGTACATTGGAAAATGGTGCAAGTGGAAAAGTCTACCAATTCGACGCTGCATTCAGCCCGTCCGCTACAACAGAATCGGTCTACGAAGATGTAGGTTCTGTAATTGTCGAGGCTGTCTTAGAGGGTTACAATGGCACCGTGTTTGCTTATGGTCAAACTGGTTGCGGGAAATCATTTACAATGCGAGGATTCATCGAACGTGCATTGGAACATCTGTTCGAGGCGACTTCCACCGCCAGTTCCGAAACAAGGTATTCGTTTCAGTTTTTACGAAAATATATAATACAGATATTCCATCTATTGTTCTAAATAATACAAAGTCAGAACGATTAATTGGTTCACTTGTTTATCTCATTTGACTCCCATATCTATCCGAGAAGTTTGGACATGAACCATAGCTTGTGTACCGTTATCGAGTGAACGGACGTAGTTGACATCCACATAGAATTCTTGTGGAGTCTTATAGCGACCATGCTCTCGGAAACAACATGTAGAGATTGGTTTAAACGCTTCAAAAATAATGATTTTGATGTTGAAGATAAAGAACGCTCTGGCGCACCGAAAAAGTTTGAAGACGAAGAATTGGAGGCATTAATTCCGCAGAAGAATTAGAATTAAATCAGAATTTTTAAGCACATACACATGTATATGTTCCGAATCATTTTGTATAAACACGAATCGATTTACAAAAATAGCTTATACGAAAGTTATATACCCCATACAGCACCAAAACTTTCAGAAACATTTCAGAAAGCATTATTGCAATGTTGCAATGTTTCTGAAATGTTTCTGAAAGCTTCGGTGCTGTATGGGACAGTTTTAAAAAGAAACATCAAAGTTCTTTACATATTGTAGGGATTATATATTTTTTTCTCTAACTATTATTACGTTTTCTATGTGCAGGTATTTGGCGTTGCTCAGTTACCTTGAGATTTATAACGAGCGATTACGAGATCTATTACAAGACGACACTGGAGAAACTCTAACACTGAAAGAGGACCCCACAAAAGGTATTTACGTCGCAGGTGGACTGCGCGAGGTCACTGTCAAAGATGCGACCGAATGCGCTGCATTGGTTCAGCAGGGCGATCAAAGGAGAGCCGCAGCTGCGACGAAGATGAACGCCGCCAGTTCGAGAAGTCACGCTGTTTTAACTTTATCACTCGAGGCGATTGCCATTAATGACGACGATAAACGTGGCAATGCTATCAGGAGAGGTCGATTGCATCTAGTCGATCTAGCTGGATCCGAGAGACAAGCTAGGACTGGAGCTACGGGAGATCGTTTGAAAGAAGCTGCCAGCATTAATTTGAGCTTATCAGCATTGGGGAATGTCATAAGCGCGTTAGCTGCTGGAAATGGAAGACACGTCCCTTACAGGTATCACGCAAAAGCATTCCCGGGAAAAAATGTTTATATCTAATCATGTCTGAGTACATCTACAATAACTCAGATAAAAGCATGATTTTGTCCCTAGCCAATTATATGCGACGTAAATGCGAGTTAGATATCGTTCGATAGCACACAAATATGTACGAATATTTAAGAGATTGATTTTAATATTACTAATTTACCAAAATTTATCAAAATATGTCATTTATATTTTTATATAGTCTTTCATTGAATAGATTATCCCCCAGTTTATCCCCCTCTATCTGAATATGAAGTCATGGACACCTTATCCCTAACACCCTGATGTATACTAAAGACTAATATTCTTTTCAGGGATAGTAAACTGACGAGACTGCTGCGAGACAGTCTAGGTGGAAATGCCAGAACTTTGATGATTGCCTGCGTGAGTCCGAGCGATGTCGATGCTGAAGAGACTCTCAGCACTCTGCGTTATGCCGCTCGAGCTCGTTGCATTAAGAATAAGCCGATTGTTAATGAAGACCCCAAAGATGCTCTTCTTAGACAATATCAATTAGAACTTCAACGCCTAAAAAAGTTGCTTGATGGCAACGATCCGTTAAATAGTGGATCGGACTTCCAAAAGGATGTGGAGGAAGAAAGAGAGAAACAATATTCCGATGAGGTAATGCAATAATCACATATTTTTTCTATTGTCTTTTATATTTTTTAAATTTCACTATAGCTCAAGAGCTTTCCAAAATGCTGTAATAAAATATTATACTTATAAAATACATTTGATACATTTGATACTTTTCACTGACATATAAATTGTATGAAATATAACAATAAGAAGAGATATAAATATGATTGAAGGTGGAGACGCTAAGGAAAGAGTGCGAGAGTTCAAATCTATCAGCTCAGAAACTAAAAGAAGAACTAGAAGCTCTGAAATTCAGATACAAATCGGGATTAAACATGACGAATAATATTGACCAAACTGGAAAACAAGAGTACGAGAAGATGGATGTATGTCCATTGGACAAGGAACGACTGGAAAAGAGAAGAAAGAAACGAGAAGCAGCTCTGCAAGACGTTTTAAAGAAGTTGGAGAAACTGACAATCGGTGGAGAAGAGATCGGGAATGCGGAATTAAAGAAAAGGAGGGAGAGGAGAAGGAAAAAATTAGAAGTTCTTGTAGGGGCACTAGAAGCCAATGATGCCAATGGTAGTGTCTTCCAAGTATACGGTCAACTTAGGTTTGTACAATATTCAATGTTTATTTGAAAAACCGAAATATTTAAAAACTATTTAAAAAGGTAATTTAAAATTGTTTCTATTTTAATATGAAATAATTTTAAAAATTATAATTTCGTTTAAAAAAGTAATATTTAAAGAGAATAAAGTAAAATTATGTTTAAAGGGGCACAGCAGATAAAATACATATAATAACATAGATGATTCACATTATTTTATCAATTATAAAAAAGTGTACGCTGTTAAATTCGTAGTGACTCAATGAACCAAAGACTCATTGAGTAGAAGCGGTGGCGACTACTCATTGAGTCAAATTTGACTCATTGTATCACTACGAATTTAACAGCGTATGCTGTTACTGTTAACTGTCATGTGTAATAAAATTTATTATTTTCACACAAAATTCAAACCCTTATATTTTTCCATAATAAATTCTTTATAATGATTTAAAAAAGAATCCCTATTATCATTCAAAATTCAATTAATTTAAGTGTATGGATTTAATATTCTAACAAAAAATGATCAAGAAGTTTACTGATAATAAAATAAAAAGGAAATGGAAGGTAGTAAGTTTATTGAGTTGGAAAAAGTACACAAAATTTACACAGAAATATTATTATCAAAATATCGATATTCAGCCCAAAAAGGGCTATATGATATCTTCTCTAATTATGTAATTCTCAGATTCATATCGATCTGTAAAAAAAATATAATTTGCGAAAAAGAGATATCAAGAAATTGATAAACAAAACAGTTCCACTTTTTTATGTAGAACTTGATGTATAAATTTTAATAAGCATATTTTTATTGATGAATATCTTTAAAATAACAGATCGACAGAAGATGCACTGAAGAAGATGGCAAAGCGAGTAAAACAATTAGAAGCTGAGGCAGCGGACCTCCAGGCATCCTGGGACGCCGAACGTCGCGAGCTTCTTCGCAGAGAATTGTTAACGTCCCAATTATGTGACCTCATGGTACCCTATCTTCGTCCTGGCTGTCCTTTCCGCGATATTGCAGCAGTGAGATCGGCGGCGACTTGGTGCGATGAGTTAGGACGATGGCGCTTGCCGGATGTATCCCCTCATATACCTCTACCTCCAGCCGCCTCCACAGCGCGGACAGATATTCTTCACCTCAGCGGTATTTCCTCCAAGGCGGATCACAATAACAATAGCAATAATAGTAGCAATGACGAGAATGACAGTGGTCAAGATAACGATAACGAAGAAGATGATAGACGAGATATGCAGAGGAAAAAGGGTTGGAATGTCGTAAACACTTATTTTCGGAGAAGAAGAGTCGATACTCTTCTAGCACACGCAAGGGAAGCAAAGACTTTCGGTAAGATTATCATATGCGCACACAAGTGTGCATTATATGTTCATATTATGTGTATACAGGATGTCTGACGCAAGGGTATCTTTACAAAAAATGGTGGTAGATTGGATCAGAGTATCAGACTAAGAAGAAAAATCGTGTACCATTTTACAAAATTCGCAATAATTATCGAACAATTCATTGAAACGTCTGAGCGAATGAGCGCGTGGAAATCGATACTCTTGAAAAAAATGCCGTCGAAACTGATAAAAAAAAACTGATAACTAACTGATGGATAACTGGTCATTGTAACTGATGACAGCACAATCAGAAATTTACAATTATAATATACGGGTGAATCGGAGTGGTTGTACAAACTTTTTACCATAGGAGATGGATTACCGACCGCAACTGTAACAAATTCTGGAAAAAAAATGGAAAAATCTCGTTATGTATGTTTCCGTCATGTGTTATATCTAATTGTATCTCAAGAAATATAATTAGATATTATATAATGGAAACATACATAACGAGATTTTTCTATTTTTTTCCAGGATTTGCTAGAGTTGCGCTTGGCAATCTATCTCCTATGGTAAAATGTTAGTAGAACCACTCTGATTCACTCTGTATAGACTGTTAAACTTAAAAAAAAACTGTTGTTACGATTAAATGTGCGTATGTTGTAGAGCCGGGAAATCGACTGAGTAGATCAGGAGGCTCCGAAGACTCGGGACCGATCGCAGGTGGCAGCGGCTATCTGCAGCTAAACGCGCTGAACTTACAAAGTAGCGCGCCGATGTTCGGCGAAAGCAATTACAGCCCGAATCAGCGCAGATCGGCAATACGCGGTGGCTGGGTCTACGATGAGCAACCTAACCGACCTAGCTATAACTCTTTCATCAATAACACAAAGAAACCTCCTCCAAGAATATTGGAAGCCTTACCTTCGTACCCACATGACGGTACCCCATTCAAATCACCGGTTCACCTCAAAGAAATGGAATTGGAGGAGTGAGTTTTATTTAAAATTTCAATAAATTTTTAATAGATTGAGGTAATTATATATCATTTTTAATTCTAAGAATTTTACTAAAGTGAAACTTAAAAATAGAATTTGTAAATAAAAATCACAATTTTCATTAAATTTTACTTAAAATTTGACTTGCAATTATTTGTTATAACAATTTCATTTTTAACAATTACAAAATGCTTGTTAATGTTGTTAATTTTTAACTTAGTTTTATTTTACTTTTATTAGTCTAAGTTTTATTTATGTAATTAAATTATGTTGTACTATTAGTCTAATAATAAAATTTGACCTAATTCATTAATCTTCGCCAAGTCACTTTCACACTTTTGATATTAGAATGTCTGAGCGAGGACTGCCATCGAGATTGCTACGCAGCAACGATAATTTTACCCGACATCACCCATTCCACGTTGAACGTGCCTGTTCGCCAACTTATTGACAAGCCAGCCAATAACTTTCAATAAATATGATATTTTGTATTAAAGAAGAAGCTAAGAGAAAATGTATATAAGGTACGATTGTTTAAAAGAAAGGTATAGTTATATTTAGAGACGTATAGTTATATTTAGAGGAATACAATATATTTTTATATAAAAAAAATAATTTTGTTGAACTCTCAGTGATTAGATTAGTTGTTAATTATAATTTATACAGTATGATATCAGAAGCACAATAATTAGTTATTCTTTAAATAAAATTGGAAATTAAAGTTGATAATAAAGCTTATAAAATAATACATTTTTTTCTGAAAATCTGCTTCACTCAAATATTCCTTAACAGAGTAAAAATAAGCAATTTCTGAACCTACATTTACCTACAGGGGCAGCGGCGCCCCTACATTACATATCTAAATAAAGAATTTAATAATAATCTATTTTATTATTCACTTTATTATCATCTCTTTATTATCTCTCTTTGCAACAAATTGTTTTAATATAATGAAATATAAATATATATATATACATATATGTACAGTGCCGGTTTTAGCAACATTGGCGCCCTGAGCAAGATTATCGTGGCACCCATTCAAATTCAAGGGCTCGAAATTCTTACAAAAGAAAAGACAGAGTAATAATATCGAACGACGAACCCCATTTTGTTTTTATATTTTAGGGAATCTCTCTCACTCTCAAACTAGGTGAAACCAGGCAGCGGCGCCCCTACAGATTTGGCGCCCTGGGCGATCGCCCAACCGCGCTCCACCCTAACGCCGGTACTGTATATGTATAACTAGATATAATATTTTAGATTATACATTTTTCAAATGTATTAAAATCAAGATCTTGATCGTAGATTATGTAATTTGCTAATCATACTTTACTTTCGTACGAAATGAAATATATGGGACGCGATCTTGTGATATGATATAAACCAGTTGAATTTCACAGTAAGCCAGACCATATATCAAATCTTTATTGTGGCTGTTACAACATGCAGAAATTTTGAAACCAAGTGTGTTTTCGGCATTCTGTAATAAATTCTCGATAGTAATCTGTAAAAAAAGTCTCGAATTTCTTCACAGTTGTTGAACATCAACTGGAATCATTACAAGTCGATAATATAATTTTATAATTGACAATAATGTAAAGTTTTGTGCTTATCTTAATAAATTTAGAGGCAGAGAAAGAGAGAGAGAGAGAGAGAGAGAGAGAGAGAGAGAGAGAGAGAGAGAGAGAGAAAGGCCGAGAAAGAAAGAGGTACTAATTTTTTAATAAAATCTTGTTTTATTATTCATAAATTTCTTGTTTCTTGTTTTTTACGTAAGGCATTTAT